GTATAAATTAGAGTTATTTCAGTTGAGGCAATGAAGCTACGCCATCATAAGATTGATGAAAGATACAGAAGTGGATTCTATGACAATCCTGTCAATGAAAGACACTGAAATAAGTAAATTAAAATTGTGGGAGAAGCAATCCATTTGTCATCAGATGTGATTTTGCAGTTTGACCTCTGTTTAACGTTCTCAGAAGCAGAATCTGTAAAATGAAACTCTATCCAGTAACCTATTTAATTGTATTCTTTTCATATTTGACAAGCACCAAGCATATATTTTTTTAATTTTTTAAAATTTATTATCATGCCATTTTTGCAGTTTGTCTTCCTCTCTGTGACTTCTTTGCAGCAATTTTGTCTGGTGTCCCACTTCCTAGCCACTAGCCATGCACAGATTCTCTTTCAGCTACCCTGTATAAGCATTGCTGCTACCCTACCATTTTAGCTCATTCTACAATTGCTAATTCTTCTCCAGTGAAGATATGTGTATCTTAATCTACAAATAAGCTACTTGCCTGATAACCTGTCTTTATTAATAACCAATGCCAACTGACAAGGCAAGTGGATTAAAAGAGGGCAGATATGCAATGAGAATTTCTTAATATAATCCTCCCAATTTGATCGATAGACTTAGTGAGCCAAAAGTGGTGTCACTGTGTTTAAGAGGTGTTTGTGGGTTTCTCCTTCACAGATTTTAACATAATTTCCAAACCTGTGTAATCCTCTGATATTCATAGCTTCTTCAGTCAGTAATACCAGTGTGGATAGCTGAGCTCTCATGAGACACAACTGGCTTGAAACAAGAGCCTCTGTGTTCCTCAAAGAGAAGATTATCACAGTTTTCAGTGATTGCTCATCCTTGCTGCTATTCTGAGAGTTCCTGTGCACTTTCTTGGCCTAAGAACCATGCATTGACTCTTCCCCATGTAAATTGGACTTTTACTACTGACAAAGCCTTTATCTCCATCACTATACTGCATTGCCATTATCCACTTATACCAGATGAACGCTTATAACTTTAGAATCTGTCCTCTTTGCTCTCAAATTAGATTTTAGGAGGAAAATATTGAATGGACCGTGTATTCCAGGACCAAATCATGTTTGTAATCTAAATGCATAGCTCATAATATGTCTACCCATACTGCACATGCAGAACACCAGTGTCCTATTTGTAGATCTCACTAATGCTGACATTCCTTAATGTGTCCCAGTTCCCATAAATAAGTCATTCTGGTGTCAGAATCTCAAATGCCAGCTCCACTGCAAGTGCAGCTCACAAGTTCAGGCTGAGCAGAGGTAAAACCACAAAGAGGTTGTCCCTTTTTCCTCTTGAGTCTGGCAGCTGGTATGTCTTGACACTGCTGTGGCACAAAGGACATAAAGGGTAAAATTACAGTATCTTGGGTATAAATGTCAGTCCCAGATTATGCCTGAGCTTGTATCCTTTGTAGCAAAGCAGCACGTGGAGCGCAGCATCACCTGCCTCTCGGGCACTGTCCTTAGAAAGCCCTTTTATACCAAGGCTTAGGAGAGGGATCTCTGGTGGGTACTTGGAGCTTGTTGCCTCAGCATCTCTGACTGGAATTTCCCCAATAGCATTCAGAGGTTTATGGTTGGCTCTTTTTTTCTGGCACAGAGTGTCAAATCAACAGGATCTCCCTCACAGAAAATTCTTTCTGTTAATCATTAAAGCTAATCATTTTTCACCTATAGATATGCATAAACATATTGAGGATTAGAATGTTTCATTCACAGCACTAAATCAAAAGAAACTCAACTGAGGCCAGTAAGTACAAAAGGAATATCAGACTCATATCAGAAAGAAGAAAATCTGGTTATTTATACTTTTTAGAGAGGAAAAAGTATCTACAAGATTGTATTACTCCTAGCACTATGCTTTAACCAGAGATCATGTTCTCTCTTTGCCCTTGTGACTGAACATGAGACAGGGTCAGTCACAAATCAGTCTGTCCTGCTACCCCTGAATAGCAGGGGAGCATTTGCCACCATTATTTCTGATTTCATGGGCCTTGGGCACATACTGTTTCGTCAGAATGTCAAAAGAAACAAGTCTTACAGCCTCAGACAGAAACATTTGACTTTGAAGGAGGGAAGTAAAAGGAGGCGGGGGGGAAAGCATTTAATGGTATCTTGCATGTCTCCTTAATAGGCATAGAAGGATAACCATAAAACTGTTTAAAACATGATCCCAAAATGAAGCTTCCCTGTTCTGTGAATAAATCAACAATTTATAGAAACATGTTCAATCGCTTCCTGGAAACAAAAAAGAATATTTTGTATTTTTTGCTTCATAAAGCAGCACCTCATCCAATAAAATTCAAACTATTTTAGGCACTGGCTGAAGACATCAGTCAGTGTCACAGGAGTCATGCAGACTGTCAAGCTGATCAGGCTCAATCAGTATCATAGATTTACGCATAAAACCACAAACTTGACATCAGTTTTGCCTTTTTTTTTGTGAAGATGTTCTTCCCATTTTCATTTAAATTAAATGCAAGGAATTTAAATACAATATTTAAACAGAAGTACCTGCTGTCATATATCATCAGCAAAAGAGATCGTGATTTGTTAGCTTTAAATAAAATAAAACTAAGAAATAAAATAATTGCTTTCCAGCTGGTCTCTACATTGTTAGCTGTTTAACCTGACATTTTACACAGCAATAGAATGCGTGGTTGTCTTTCCCAGGGCCATTTACACCAGCAGCTTAAAGGAACAATTGCTGCATAGCTTGACCTCACACTCACACAGCACTTTCCTCCACCACTCATGCTAGCTATGAATCTTCGGTCATTTCCTAGATGAAATTTGCTTTTCTTCCCTAGTTTTTCCATGTATTTAAAGTGCAAAAAGACAAGTCCAAAACCACTGAGTCCCTGCAGATGCAAGAAGGTTCACGGCTCTGAGTGTGCTGTGGAGGGGCTGTGGACACACAGCTGGCAAATAACAGAGGAAAGAAGGTGTATCAACTCCTGACACCTCCTGAAATCTTTGAAAACTTTCTGTAAGATTTACTGGGTCTGTAAGTGTGTAACGCACCAAACAAAGTGAACCTTGCCCTTTTTTTCCCCTTATTCATTGAAATTATCACTCTTTGTTCACCAGAGCTCCCTGTAAAATTTAAAAAGCAGTGGGAAGCTCTCATGCTCAGGCCCTGCTTAGTTTGCATGTGACTGCTCAACAGGTTTCAGGAAGTAACAATTAAGAGGACAATGGATAAAGGAGGAAACTGGAGACATTATCTAACAGCTGTGAATCACAACTTACACAGCTTTCTTTTCCATAATTAATTGAATGACCAGGCACAATGCACATTGACTTTGAAATGTGGTCCAAAAACACCTTTGGTGCATGTAAATCCTTTTCCACTGCCCTTACTTACCTGTGAGATTTGATCTTAGTCAGGAGTGAGAGTTGTGAATTGTTACAAGGGATAGTTTGGTATTTTTTGGGACGGGGGGGAGAGAAGGAGATGAAAAAAATATGAAAGGACAATCACATCACATGGAGGAGGTAGAAGTCTAGTGAAGTTAATAAAACATGGGCTTCAGATAAGTAGCAGAAAGTCACTGTAAGACACACAAACATGTAAACTTGCAAATAGGAATTATGATTTAACATCCTGTAACCAGTACTGCATTTCTGCATGAGAGATAAAGAAATGAATGTTATGAAACTGTTTCATTAAATTCTTTATTGCAGAGTATGAGCTGAATTCTGTGGCGTTTTCTCACAGAAGCAATCCATATATGTGTTAAACATGCTTGAGGACAAATATCTCTTAGATAAGTTGTATTTTACTTCTCTAGAACAGGAATGACAGTTTATACTATGGCTCTAGAAATTAGGATCTCAAAAAACACATATCTGCAATTTACATGCCTTAGTAATTATTAGGGGGCATAGTCATCTATTTACTCATATCACTCTGTTGCTAGAATTGCCCTAGAACTGGCATAAAAAGAATAACAGTGAAGATTATTCAGTAGTCAAAGTAAGTCAATGAGCATTTATACACTTAGATACTTCTCTCTAGAAAAAAATATCATTTAAATGTAACTAGTATATAAACGTCTCTCTCCATCAAATATATGAACATACAACTAATACTTTATCTGAAATTATGCCAATGATAGAACACAATTAAAATAATTTCAATATTTTAGAATATTCACATTCAAATAGTGACTCATTTTATAATATTTTATTCATTATCTTTAACATTTTTCTTGTATCAGCAGTACAAAGTTACAGAAAACATGTGAAGTTATGACCACACCGAAACAAAAGTTTAACTGCCATTGACATCCTGGTTATCTAGAATGGTTCTTCTAAAGGACATGATAAAACAGGATTTTTTTCGTGACAGAGTTGTATTAATTTTAAAAGAGGAGGAATGGTTGTGGGAAGGAAGAAAGGTGTCATTGTTGTCTTTTTGTAAAACTTCTGTACCGTCTTTGTGAATTCTCATGGGTAGCTCCTCATGGCCAGCTGACTCCTTCCTCCTCACCACAGCACCCCTAACTCTCTCTCAAGTAGCTAGCTCACCTTTTTATAAAACTCAGCCTCATAGGATATACCTGTGGCCTAACCTTTGGTAATTAGTACAGCTGCAACTCCTCAGGGGTGAGATTGCCTCTAGCACTATCTCTTATTCTTCTACAATCCGGATGGATGGATGGATGGATGGATGGATGGATGGATGGATGGATGGATGGATGGATGGATGGATGGATGGATGGATGGATGGATGGATGGATGGATGGATGTTTGCTTTTCTTGTGTCCTTAATATGCTACAATGTTAATGATATTTAGATTCTGTTTAACCAGTACTTATCATTTGAGGTCCAAGATAAGGACAAAGTAAATTATTAATCATTAATTAAAACAGTGATTATCTTGTTGGGGAGGGTGTCATCAACACTTCAAGGTCCTGTTAGGCTTCTAGTTTAAATTGTAAATTATTACTATTTTGCAGATTTGGTGTACGGATACTATAGACAACAGAGGAAATTGATTGAAGAGATTGATTGGTCATATACAGGTAAGCAAAACTGTCTATTGAATAACTTACTTCACTTTGATATTTGTGTGTTCATTGTTACAATTTAAAGAGCCTTGTGTGTCTGTATACCACTTACCATATGCCTAAACAATTGCTAAACTGCAGGAAATGGAATCTGAAAAATACAGGAACTTTACAATAGGAGAGTATTTTCATCTATTTAGATTTGTATTTCAATCTACTTAGTAATAGATTACATCTATTACTTTTGGAAAGAGAAAGTCCTCAACCTTAAAACCTCAGCCTGAGACCTGAATTATTTGATGAAGGCTGGGCCAGTAAATTGTTAAGTGTTTTTTAATCATCTCAACATTATTGTTCTAGAAAATCTGAAAAGCAGTCAGAAAGGCTGAAACACGGCACAGCACATTATGTGGAAAAGAACCCGTCCGTATACTGCATATGAACTTCTACCCTGTGCTTGTGAGCACTTGAGCATCCTTGCCAAGTCCCACCCTGACTCTCCTAAAAACTCAGTCACTTTGTCTCTCATTTGCATGAGTAAGAAAGATATACCCCGAAATTCTTCATGACCGTTGTCTCATTAAAGAGCAATGGAAAATTCACAATTAGCTTCCTGTGTTCTTGCGTATAAGTCAAGTGATTTCAATAATACTAAAAACATAATTTTGTCCTAGGTATCTTTTGCCCAGCATGTAGGAAGTGAGTTCCTATGGATGTGTGTAGGCTCTTACATTTTATATTGCTTAAGCTACTGTTTCAAAAATACCAAATTATGAAAAATAAGGACTGTCAGATTTCAGTTTTCCATAAATTTGATTCAAAATATGTTCCTGTAGTTAAGGAAAATTACACCATTCTTTTTATTTCTCTAACTCTCTTTCTCATTTTCAAGGCAATTTTTATCTTCTAGCGTAAAACCTATCTAACAAGTTTTAAACCTAGAGAGAATTGAAACAGGCTAGTCATAAACCCTTCAAAATGAGATTTATAATGAAAACTCCCACTTTCAGAGACTGTAGTGCAAAATTCAAGCATAAGATCAATCAATACAGTATTTGATGTTCAAAGTCGATCCATTTTTTAATATTGTAGTTAGATGACTGTGGGGATAAACCTCCTGGATTCCTCGTGACCAGTGGGCAATCTTTAAAGGATAGCAAATAGGGTTTGTTTAGGATATCGGAGTATATAGCTCTTCCCTAGACTGCACAGAGCACCCATGCACTGTGCAGCTGCTGCAGCATCCACAGCTCACACTCATGGATATTTTGTATGGAAAAATAGCACACAATTGGCATGTCAGCTGATCCATACCTGTTGTTTCTCTCCCTTAACCTGTGATGGATACCTGTGTGTTGTCATCTCAATTCATATGCTTTGCTCCAGTGACTTCCCAGCTAGCAAATCCTTTCTGCCCATTCAGACCTGTCCAGGAGCCCTGGCTAGCATCCTGCTGCTCCTGCAGCCACCCGCCCCAGCTGCATCCTGCCCTGCTCCTGCTGCCTCACCGGGCCCTCTGCTGCACGAGCTCTGTGCACCCGCAGCATTCCTAAACTGCTGACTGCATGTGTGGTCAGAAACTGATCTTCAAAGCTTTTGGGGAAGGCTGCATGTAAATCAGGCACTTGGAGCTTAGGGCTAGCAACTGAGTGTTATGGGATGCTTTGGTAAAATACCAGGTAATTGGTTCATGGCGTAGGTGGAATACACAAACCCAGCTTTCACTGGTAAAAAGACAGCCTTCCTGAATGTGGAAAAAAATTGCAGCTTTTAACATTGTGCTTTGGAGGCATAAAGGTCTAGAGACTGAAGCATATGGGTTTTGATCTCCTTCATTTATAATAACTTAAATTTGTGTTCCTGAGGCAAGCCATATCAGGTACTGTATGTATGAGCACTGTACCTAGCACAGGCTTATGGTTGTGAGGCATAGACCAAAATGCACTTCTGAATGGATGAATACTTTCCCAGTACATTTTTTTCCTCAGACACCAGTTATATTCTACTGTCTTATAACCTTCTCACTCAAAGACTGAAAGTGAAAAATTTCATTGAAAGTGAAAAATTAGACTCAATGTGCCAATGAAGTGTTTTGAATGGGCCTGGGGATCCTGGAACCATGAAGTCTAATCCACCATGGGTAAGAGAGATCCAACTAGCTTGGTAAATTAACCTGAGTCTGAGCAATGTAATTCTCTATATCAAATAAGAAATTTCAGATACATTAGCCACAGAGGGTCAATATACTCCTTTACTGGGATGGTGCTGTGAGGTGAAAGTAAAATGGAGCTAGAGAGTTTTACCTGCTAAAATCATCCAATTTCTGAAGGTGAAGTTTCATAATAAAGTAATTATACATGTGCGAAATTAATGAGTCACCATCAGGTTTTGAGTCTTGGATAAGTGTATAATGAAGTCATAAATGCTACTGGAAAGATTTTGTAATACTTCTAAGAGCTCTGTTTTAAGCCATGATGAAGACCTGCATTTGCATGCATTAATTTAATCTTTTGTGTCCTAACTTTGCATATATTTGCATAAACAAATACCATGTTAAAGAACTGGAAGGTACAAGTTTTGTTACAGATGCAGCCAATGTTTTCTGGAATAAGGGTATGCTGAAGCTAGCCTATTTGTAAAAAATACTTTATTTTAACAAGCTTTCGTTATATTTTTCATTAAAGCAGTCATAGAAATTTTTTAAAATGTCACAAATATTTTCAAATGGTGTCATATGGCAAAAAGTGGATCCAACCATTTTTTGTTGCAGAAAAACCCTGGTGTACTGTGAAAATTCAATTTCCTTAATTCAGTTACATACTAATTGATAAGCAAAGGTCATTTAGACAATATTTAACTGTACCACTAAGTTTAGTCATTCACATATTCAAAGCATAAAGCAAGTTATATGAGCTTCAGTTACTTTCTGTCATAGAAGTGAAAGATTAATTTTTTTTTTGATGCTTTGCTTATCTGAATTGTTTTTGACAGAAGGAATGATATAATGTTGTTTTCTGGTTCTGATGTTTGGGATTTTTTTTAACATGGCTGGTTGATATTAGTCTGTCAAAGTCCAAGTCTAAAAGTTCACATGTAAAACTGGCATGTGATATCACGATTTTTTTTTTTTTGTTTGTGTGGTTTTTTTTGTCCCCAGTGAAATGTCTTTCTGTTGGGTTTCACTCCCAGGATTTTGGTTCTTGTTCACAACAAACAAGTCGTGTGCTTTAGGGAGAAAAAACACAGCTGAAATCTGTTAAAAACAAGAGATTCTGAACAGTCTTCAAGGAATTAGCAAAGCCAAGGGTTTCAAACATTTTTAAAAATTGAATGTTCTGTGTAAATAAATACTATCATCAGATCTATGTTCTTTGCCTCACCATGTAGGAGTGCTATGTTCAGCCTGTGCTGCCATTTATTACGTGATACACTGTTACACATTTGCTTTACAAATAATGGCGACTCTGATCTTGAGGAAACGGTAATTTTGGTATAAACTGATTGGTCTCCAGGTATTCAAAGAACATTTTTATTATTTGCAAGTAGAATCTGAATAATATTTCCTTTTTCTCTGGGGAAAAGCATCATGAATCACAGTATAGTTTAGGTTTGAAGGGGCCCTTGGAGATCATGTGATTCCAGCCTCAGCTCAAACCAGAACGATCTTCAAAGCTGAAACAGGAAAAGTATGGAAAATTTCCAAAGAAGGAGGTGCTGCAGCTTGGTCAATGTGATCTGTTGTTATTTTGAAAACATTTCTTTTCTTTTACTCAGCTTCAACATGTCTTATTGCAACTTGTGGCCATTGCTTCTCACCCTTTCCTTGTGCACTGCTCTCTAGGTTGCCTTTACAGAACAGTAGACTTCAGCTAAGTTCCCTCTCAGCTTAAGCTTCAGCAAACTCAAGTCCCTCAGCCTCTCCTCATACATGGTGTACTCCAGCCCCCAGACCAGCTCAGCAGCCCTTGGGTTGTAAATATCCATCTCATACTGGGTTCAGGAGGAAATCAAAACTGGACCCTGCATTCTCGATGTCACCTCTCTGGTGTGCACTAGAGGGAAGAAGACATTTCCCTCATCCTGCTGGCTCCGCTCTTGCTAAGGTAGCCCAGGACAGTGTTTGTCTTCCCGACTGAGAGGCACGCTGCTGACACGCACATAACTCATTCCATCAGGGTTATTAATTAAGATATTCAGATAATTTTTAATATCTGATGTTTTTCAGTACTAATGTATAATGATGGTGCTCTTCTGGCACTTGCATCAATACTTCTTTCAGTAGCAATGCCTAAGTGTAATGATTTTTTTTGTTTTGCTCCCCTGTTGAACTAATTGAACTAGTCTTGATAAACCTGGAATTGTTACCGTTTTGTGTCTGATTCAACAGCTTCCTGGAGATATTCCCCTAGTTTATCATTCCCTTTTCTGTTCCTACACAGACAAAACTTCAATTGGTATTTGAAAGGCTAGGTTTGCCTCCCCAAGTCTATAAATGTTCTGTGATTGCTTCAAATGTTCATGCCTGTAGTTTGGCTCAGAAATCAAAATGGCCTTTGTTTTCAGTGGTACTGAGAAAATGCATTTTTTTTCTTGCCCAAACAAGAGCTAATATTTTAATTTCAAATGTTCCATCATATTTCCATACTGAGATTTCATTTCAAAGTCACTTCTCATTAAGTTTATGGAAAAGCATGCTGTTGCTTATATGCATAACAATGCATGGGTGTATTTTGCTTTTCACTCAGCCTAAAAAGTGATCAAAGATGTACACTATCTCAGCTGTGGCTCAACAGAGTGATTTTAACACTGGTAGCTAACTCTGCTTATTCTGTAAAATGTCTGCTGCTTCTGCTACCCACCAGTTCAGTCCAGGTAAAGTGGAAAATCTGAGTCTTTCCCTTCATCCTCACCCTGTCTGTCTGTTCAGCAGCCATCTGCTGGGAGCATGGGCAAGGTGGGGCATGCAGGTGCTGCTCCCTGCCCTGCAGCTGAGGTGAAGGAGACGCCGTGCTGCT